CATATGTGTGATTGTGTGTCTATTTGCCTTGGCTACACTCACACTCGCACACACATAACAAAAGCTTACACGCATGACGACATCAATTTGCCTGCAGCTGTGTGTGCGTGCGTGTGTCTATATATGTGTGTGTTTGTGTGTGTGTGTGTGTGTGTGTATAAGCCACCTGTTTTCACAATGAGGACATCATTGATTAATATGTCAGCAGCAGAGCTTAGGCTGTGCATTCACAAACTAAAGGACTAGGCTTATAAACCAACACACGCATGCATGCCATAAATATAACATATGTGTATACATGTATGTGTGTGTGCATGTGTGAGCTTATAATAAAACACTGAAAAATAAAATTGTTGCCCTAGCCTACATTCAAAACTTTCGGCAAAGCCCCGAGTGCCTTTTGTCATGTTGTTGCTGCTGCTTTTACAGCCTTTCACTAGAGAGTGGATGCATGCATGTGTGTGTGTGTAGGTGTGTGTGTGTGTGTGTGTAATTAACTACTAAAAGGCAACTTGTTGTTGCAGTGGGCGCACCAGTTGAGTGGGTGTGGCCTCTTTGGGGCCCTTGTCTCTATTTGTATATGTGCCTGAATGCCTGTGTCTGTGTGTGCGTGTGTGTGTGTGTGTGGATGTGTGGCTGCGTTCAAAATGGGTTAACAAAAGTGTAGCATACACAAAGGCGCCATTGTGCCATAAAAGGCCCCAATTCTGTTGGTTCTAGGTTCGTCAGGCTCACGCCTCTTTGGACCGCCTGGATTAATTATAAAGTTTTTCATTCATATCGTATTTCGACGAATTTGCATTAAAATGCATAACTCGTCTTAATTAAATTTGCAAAGGCCTAACTGAATGAACACCTCAAAAAGTTGGGAAATTCTGTAAGCAGGCTTTAAGAACTTGGCAGATATGATGTCTTAGTTGATAGCACCAAAGATTTAATACCCTTGCAGACATGTGGCTAGGAAATGTTTGTAAACAAAGGCCTCATTTCCGACCGATTCTTGATTTAGGAGGCATATTAAATACATATATTGGGAGATTTTTTCCATTCATTATTAGACGGATTTGCAGCATAGAGTTATATGATAAAGTATTCCAAATTAGCATATTCTGTGAGTGAAGGGTATAAAATCGAACTTGGTTTTCTATTTAAGGCACATGTTCTACATCTTAAATAAGTTATAAATATGGCAATAATTTGAACTCTTAGCGTAATCGGCGATATTGACTTGAATATGCTTTTACATACCATGAACAATGCTTATCTAAATTCCTAAATTGCTGTTCTACTTTTCTACGACTTCTTCAAATGTACTTTGAGCACTCTCTGCGGCATTTCATGAAGTGCCTGCTCCCCGAACCCATCAACAAAGCAACATTTTATTGCTTTAGTTTTCCACTTGTTTGCCAAAACTTGCCGCCTACTTACATATTGTTTCTGCCCTCTCAATCTCTGACCTTAGCCGATTCGGATGCGGAGACGGACGAGGATGAAGGCCACATTGAGGATGCGGAGAAGGCGCAGCAACGTGAGCGCGAAAAGAATGAAGAGACCGAGGAACAAAGCAATAAGGACATACAGGACACCGAGGAGGACGTCGCCGTGTCGCTGCTGCGTGCCAAAAACCTGTCGCTGCTACAAAGCCAGTAAGTAGCAAGTCGCATGTGCCTCACGTGGCGCTACCCCATGCCCCACACCTAAATCCATCCAAACTAAAACTGCCTGCACCTTGCAGAGAAATATCATCAAGCCAACAGAATTTCTTTCGCATGCTGGACAAGAAGATCGACGAGGTGAGTCGCTAAACACAATTAAAGACAAGGACCTGAACCAAAGTAATTCCATTTGCAGGGTCCCGACTATGACTCGGCCAGCGAGACGGAAATTGCCTTGGAGGAGGCACGACTGAATGCACTGGTACAGCATTGGGAGTCCGCTAGCCTGACCGCATCCATATGCTCCTCCGCCAGCCGGTCGCTGCAGACGACGCCAATACGTCAGTTGGTGCAGGTGCCGATAAAGACGAGAGGCGCTGCCGGCAGCAGCGGCCCCGCTGGCCATCTGCTGCAGCCCACCGCGGCTTGCAGCAACACGCTGCCCACGACGGAGTATCTACCTCAGCACGTCATGGCGGGGCGACAGCAACAGCAACAACATCAGGCGGCAACTATCTACCAACAGCAGCAGCAGCAGCAGCTAATCCTCACGCAGCAGCTACTGCCGCAGCTCGATGCCAATCTCGTCAATACGTCCAATGCCAATGCAGCAGCTGCCGCGCAACTCAATCAGCTGCAACAGCAGCAGCAACAGCAACTGGTTCTCTACCAGCAGCAACAACAACAACAGCAACAACAACAACAGCAGCAACAGCAGCAGCAACAACAACAACAACTGGCTGCCTATGGCGGCCACCTGCTGACACTGCCCGCCGGCGGGAAGCCACAAAGCGTCAGCCCCAAGCGTATGATGTATGGCGCCGCACCCTCGCCGCCAATCAGCGCCGCGCCTGTTCAGTACATTGCCGCCAACTCGCCGCTCATGCAGACGGGCGTGACGGGCTTCCTAAATGGCGCCGGCGCAACAGCTGGACGCGCACCCTTGCAGCTGTCCTACTACGGAGTACCGAGCACTGCCCCCCAAAGTGCCGCCCAACAAGCGGCCTCAGTTCCCATCGCCTCCGAATCTTACGAAACACAAACCGCTCCACACAGCCAAAGCCAGCAGCAGCAACAGTTGCAGCAGCAGCAGCAACAGTTGCAGCAGCAGCAGCAACAGTTGCAGCCGCAAACGTCGCAACTGCAACAACCGCCAAACGCAGCCGGCGCCTACTACGGCGAGGTCATGCACACTGTGCAGGTGAGAGGGTGGGCCAATGAGAGGGCAATTACTGAACATAAAAGGGTCACGACATCCTAAAGCTGCAGCTGAAGCTTGCTCGCAGTTCGATCTTGAGCTTAATTTATAAGTAAGAATAGGACAAGTCTCTGACCCAGTAATAAAAGCCGACTTGATAAAGCCATGTCCGTCTGCCTGTCGTCCGTCTAATCGTATGTATGAGGGCGTCGATCCCAGAAACTATAAAACCTAAAGATTTAAACGTCGGCCTTCCTAGAGCGCAATATATAAACATGTCTCTCTTTCTTTTTCAATCAAACAAACTTTACATTACAAGTTGTATCTTTCATATAAAAGATATCACAGAAACAGTCGAATGAATTTTTAAATGGAAAATCGATCTATCTATTTATCTATGATCTTATGAAACGAAATCTTTAAGAATCTCAAAATCTGACGCCCTTATTCATCTAACAGTCCGTCCCTCTATCTACATAATCCCGCAGAACTCGGAGACTATAACAGCTGGAGATACCAAATAGGCTGTACTACATTCTATATTATACTCAGTTTTATGATCCTGACATCAATCTGTCTGTCTTATTTTAGCAGCCCGCGCCACCACCAACGGAATATAAATTTCCGCCGGCCATCAGCGTGCAGAGATTGGCGCCTCAGGTGCAGCGGCAGCTGCGCGAGACGCAGGAACTTATAAAAGACTCGTGCCCGCAGCTGTATGCGGCGGGCTATGGCAGCCCAGGACCACCGATACGCAATCCCAACAGAAATCCAACTAGAACTAGACCCACCCTGGAGACGCAGTTCTCGCAGGAACTCTCGTGATATCTATATATGTAAACAGCAGGCAGAATCGTAGCAAACCAAACACAACATAATTAGTCAACTGCGCCAAAGAAACAAAAATTTAAACAAAATTAACACACAAAAAAAATAAATTTAATTTAACTAGAAAAAAAAAATTAAAAAAAAAAAGCGAAAAAAAATTGATAAAAATTGTAAAACTGCACTCAATGTTTCAGTACTCCCCCCGAAAACTTAGAACAGCAACAACAACTACTAATACTACTGAAAATTATGCGAATCAGGAAATAAATTGCATTCTAACTATATAAATATATATATATATAAATATGTAAAACCCGAGTAATCAGCAGGCAGCCGAAAAATGGGAAACATTGAAGGTTTAGTATGCGCCAGACAAATAGTTTAAGGATCGAGTATAACACATAGAGCTATGTAATAAAATTAAACACAAACAAAAACCCGTTAGCACGTTACAAAGGCAACAAAGAAACACAAAACAAATATAAACAAGAACAACAACAAAAATGACTTCTACATTCTCACAATTTTGTTAGTCATAATCATATTCATCGTGTAATTTTTAAAAATAAATTCTGTAAAATGTGTGAACTAAACAAATTTTGAAAACAACAACAACAACAAAAAATGGTAATACGAGTAACGTTGAAGCTAGAAAAGATCAATGTATCGATGCATGAATGGATGATAGCCACTGATTAAAGATCATTTAATTGAATGATATATAATGTTGGTGAAGCTGTCTAGTAATATTTGTATACTTTAGTTCTATTTATTATTATGATAATTTTGGATGTATAATAGTTTTTTCTTATATAAAATATATATAAATATATATATATATATATATTTAAAAATGAAAATAAAAGCAAATCAATTAAGTTTAGAAAAACCGATCCTCATTAATATAACAAATTGTGGAAAAGCGCCTGAAAACGTAAGTATAACACGCATGAGCCATAACTCACATCTTACCGAAAACATCTTTGACTTTTTACCTTTTACAAAATACACTTGAATATTAAACCAAAAGAAAATGCTTAAAAAACTGGAATACAATTCAATTAAATTTCAGATTCTAGAGTGTGAAAGAAATTGTTAAAAAAAATGTCATCAAACGAGAAAAGAAAAAACCCATCACTTAACTTTGGGTTTATATGAACTCAAATTTTGGCAGTAGTTTTCATAAAAGTGTTTTGTTTTTTTTTTTTTCATTATTGATTAAATGATTGAATAGCTCGAACACCTCAATAACTTTTACACTCTGGAATTATAAATTATGTTAATTACAGAACTTGATCGTAGCACTAATACAATTCAGCTGATGTTTAATGAACTCCTTTATTCATAAGTTGTAAATCAATTCATACGTTTACATATAATGGAATTATACATTTATTTTATTGTTATTTTTCTGGTGTTGTTATCGTGAAAATTGTTGTGTAAGTTTCAGCTAAGCAATTAGACTAGTCACATAATATGGTTTAAGATGATATAATACGCATTTGATTCTAAGAAATTGACATTATATTTTGTTTGTCTCTGTGTCAGTGTCGCTTGGAGCATTGCAAATTCGAAAATTATGCATTATCGATAGAATAGAGTTATTCGAGAATAGTTACAGAAATCAAATACGCTGGGGGCTCATTATAATAAGCTAAATGCCAAATGATGTTTGGCAAACGTTTGCCCAAATGTTTCGACTAAACAATGCCTAATAACTACGTGTTAGATTTGATGATTAAATGTATATATAGAAACGTGAAGGGAATTTATCAAATTGCAAGCGTATTTGATTCCAGTTTAAACCATATTATATTGCTAATATGTATGTGTGGGCGGAGGAGATCTACACAAGTCTGGGACCTTAGAGTGTTTCTAAGATTTAAATCTATACTCAAGTTTCTTACGCTGATGTGTATGTTTCTGTTCTGTATGTGCCTGTGTGTGTGTTCGTGTCTGTCTGTGTGTGTGTCTGTGTCTGTGTATGTATGTGCGTGGGTGTGTATGTGTGTCTTGGTGTTAGTGATTAGGAAAGGAAATTTTATTTGAGCAAAAAGAACAAAGACCAAGTAATACTAAGGTCCAGTTATTTTAGCTCGTACAATTTGGCTTTACGATTTTTAGTTTTGTACGGGTAATGGTGGAGGCTGCATCACGTACGGCATCGCATATGGGGCTCGATAGGCGCTGGCCGGTATACTGGGTGCGCCTCCATTTAGGGACACCGTCGCCATGCTGCTAGACATGCTTGTATACTGTCCGTATGCCTGGGGCGGCAAGGTAGCTGCACCGCCAACCGGCACCTGCTGCTGTTGTGGTTGTTGTGGCTGCTGTTGCGGCTGCGGCTGCTGTTGTTGCTGCTGTTGCTGCTGCTGCTGCTGCTGTGCAATCGGTGGCGGAGGCATATTGAAGTTCAGGGCAAACCGAGAGCGTTTCTGTTCGATACCATAGCCATATCCAGCGGCGGCGGCCGCAGCTGCCTGAGCTGCGGCCAAATGTGGCGCCTGATGCTGTTGGACACCTGGTGCCGGTGACTTGGGCTCAAAGCAAGCAGCATTCGGATTGAAGCGCGAGAACTGTACCCCATTGGACTGCTGTGACGGCTGCTGCTGTTGCTGCTGCTGCTGTTGTTGATAGCCACCGCCTGGTGGACGATAACCAGCGCCTGGAGCAGGCGGCGAAGTGCGCGACGGCTTCTGATCGTAACGTGGCGGACCGCCCGGATTGTAGCCACCGCTGTTGCCGTTTCCATTTCTATGCATATTGTTGTTATTATTCTGATTGTTGCGATAGTTTCCAGCTCCGCCCATTTGCGGATTGCGTCCCTGGTAGCCACCACTGTTGCCGCGATAACCCATGCCGCCGCGCTTCTGATAACCACCGCTAGCGGCCATATTCATCAGCTTTGGATTGATAGTCTTAACAGAGAATAAACGATGTGAGTGAGATATATAGATAATGGTGTTCCGGATATTTAAGCAGTACCTGATTGGCCTCGCGCAGCACCTGAATCAAATCATTGGCCTTGTTGGCATTGGAGTTCGTGAATAGAGTATAGGCTGTGCCTGTATTATTGGAGCGTCCGGTACGTCCGATGCGGTGCACATAATCCTCCGAGTTCGAAGGATAATCATAATTGATCACAAACTTGACATCGTCAACGTCTGTTTGCGTGATTTTTGTTTTGAAAATTGAAGAAGTTATCAATATGTTAAACACATTTTCCAATTAATATGTTTGTTTGATTTTTTTTTTTTTTGTTTCTCAATACATACTCAAGAACTATAAACAAAAACAGAAACTTATGTGTGTGTGTGTTTTTTTTTTTTGTTAAAGTTATAAATTCAATATTTTTTTTTTTGTTAAACTTAAATAAGCACTTGAATAATTGATATTGTTTTATATAATTTGTTTTGCATTGTTTTTTCTACATATTTTATCGTTTTGATTTGAACAAAAATTTCGCCATCAATACTATTTAGCGTATATTAACAACGATACATCTTTGGCAAACAGATATATGTTTTTTCTATACTGCAGAAATGTGGACCTCGACCTTTGTGTTCTCATTTTTATGCTTTTTTTTTTTTTTCTTGGAATACACAAATCTTTATTTATATATATTGACTTTTGTTTAAGCTTAATGCATACAAGAGACGGCTTGATTAAACTTAAGATGTAGGTTAGATAATAAGAATGTGATGAGAGGGTACTAAGGATTCATTGGGTATGGAGCATGGAGATGTGGCAAGCGCTGGGATTGGTTGGGTCGGGGGTGCGTCGTATAATGACAATGGTGATTAAGAGGAGAGGGATGGGTAGGTGAGAGACAGAGAGAGAGTTGGTTGATAATTAGCCTAGTACTTACCCTGTGTGCGATCTATGATTAAATTAGATAGGGCTTACGTAATAAATGTTGTTACGGCTCTGTTGTTGTCGTTGTTGTTGTTGTATATCGATTGTAGCTGAGCTGTTGTAGATGTAGCCTGGGCGCGGAGCTTAGGTGATGAGAGTTCCGCGTTGCTAAAAACTTAAGAATTCAACCCTCAACTTGTATATAAAGCTTAACCTTTTTTATCTTTTTTCTTTTATCTGTTTTGTGTATACAACTTTTGGTTTTAACATTTAACTTTTTCTCTTGGTTTATCATTACTTTTCTTTTTCTTTTTCTTTTTTTTTTTTTTTGTTTGCCATATAAAAATCGAAGTCCATTTCAAAAAGTGCTGATGATATTTTTGTTCACACACAAATTTAGGTTTTATACATATAGGAGCGACGTAATATACAAATATACATAATAATACTTTTATGGTAATTACAAATAAACTACGAAAAATAGGCATCAGTCAAAAATTTCTTGGCCGCAAAATTTAACTAAATATTTTCAACTCCGAATTACAAACTTAAAAAAAATAGTATACAAAAAAAAAAAAAAATAGTTTACAACCCTTCAAAGAAAGACTAATCAAGTTCCAACTGGCCAGTCTTTTAAAGAGCGTATCCAACACAACTTTTAAACGATCTTTAAGCATTAATATTATTATTTTTTTTTTTTTCTAATAATTATTATTATTCAGTTACTCGTATTTTGCTAGGCCATTGAGTCCTTGACTGACAGCAAATTGATAATATGGTACGTTAGTTTACTTGACGAAGCACAACTAAAGAACTATATAGAAAAAAGTAGGGCAACAAACTAAAAATACAATAGTACACATATGTGGAAAAAAAAAACTTCAGATAACCAGCAAAATGCAGGGAGAACACATTCCCCTCATTATTTCGACCACACCTTTTTTTGTTTTATTTATAAAAATAGCAAAAACTGAAAAGTAAAAACGGAAATGGGAGAAGAGCTAAGGCATGCAATGCACAAATTAACCTGTAAATGCACAACGCTCAACTTATCCCCACTCGAATGGTGAGAGAAAATCGATTAAGTCAAAGAGTGAAATGTGAAAGCGAAAGCGCAGGAATAATGAGTAAGAGTAAGAGTAAGAGGCTGGTCGGTGTTGGCCGATTCATCGCTGACGGTCGCTGCCAGACGACGACGACGACGACGAATCAAATAATGAAACAAAACCATTTGGCAATTTTTTTTTTCTTTTTGGGCATGTTGTTGATCCACAGCAACACTTGCTCGGTTATTGGTTATGGAGCGCATCAAAAAAGACAACAGAGCAGCTAGCGTTAGCCAGCTACTGGCGCAAAAGCTACGTAACACTCACCCAATCCGCGCGCAGCCACATCGGTGGCCACCAGTATGGAGTGGCGTCCATTGCGGAAACTGGATAGAACAAAGTCGCGCTCCTGTTGCGACTTGTCGCCGTGTATGGCACATGCGCGCCAGCCCTGACGTGAAATATTGCGTGTTATCTCATCGACACGCTTCTTGGTCTCCACAAATATGATGGTCTTGGTCTCGTTCTCGCCAGAGATCTGGGTAAGCAGCTGTATCAGCTTGACAATCTTCTCGGACTCATCGCAGACATCGACAATCTGGAGTATATTGTGATTGGCGCTCAGCGATAGCGAGCCAATGTTGACCTGAATGTAATTGTTGAGAAACTCTTCGGCCAGCTGGCGCACCTCCTTTGGCCATGTGGCGGACCACATGAGTACCTGGCGATCGGGGCGTATCTGCTGCATTATTTTGCGGATCTGTGGCTCAAAGCCCATGTCCAGCATGCGATCGGCCTCGTCCAACACAAGGTAAGTGCAGCGTTTTAGTGTGGTTGTGCCGCGCTCCAGAAAATCAATAAGGCGTCCCGGTGTCGCTATAACAATTTCAACGCCTCGCTCCAGATCGCGAGCTTGCTGGCCCTTGGGGGCGCCGCCAAAGATGCAAGTGTTGCGCACCTGCGTATTGGAGCCAAACTCGCTGGCCACCTGCTGTATCTGCTGGGCCAGCTCGCGAGTTGGGGCCAGCACAAGGGCAATGGGTCCATCTCCGCGCTCCAAGCGCGGCTGATTGTTAATGTGAACTACGGCGGGCAGCACGTAGGCCAAAGTCTTGCCGGAGCCGGTTTGAGCTACAGCGACAAGATCACGTCCGCTTAAAGCGATTGGCATGCCCTGAGCCTGAATGGCCGTGGGCTTGGTGAAACCCTGCTTGCGAATCTCATTCATGACATAGTCAGGAAAGCCGCCCTCCTCAAACTCAATGCTGGGAGTGGGCACTTCATTGCCTTTAATGGTAATCTCGTTGCTGCTCAAAAACGTTTCCGTTTCGCCTTGTGTGCGAGCCAATACGGACTCGCACGGCTTGTAGAAATTCTTGCGGAACGGGGTGAGCGACACCTCTGACCAAACAATTGACGGCAAATGAGCGCCATGAGTTGAGGTGCGATTACTGTTCTGACCACCGCCAAATCCGCTACCGTCGCGTGCTCCTGGGCCGCCCATATTCATGCGACCACCATTAAATCCACCACCGCCGCCGCCGCCGGGTCCACCACGAATGTATGGAGCCGATCGATTGCGCTGGAACATTCCAGCACCTCCGCTGGCGCCCATGCGATTGTTGGGCATACCACCGGTTGGTGCACCTCCCATGTAACCATTTACCTGTCCGTTATACCTGGAACGAGCGTTGTTCGCCATTAATTTCAATTTTGAGCATCAAAAGCAGTTCCAAACGTTATTTTCTACTTTTCGATGTGATTTTCACTAGCTACTCTCCCTGCCATTTTGATTTATCGATTTTTAGCCAATGTTTAAGAAAATTTTCTTGCCCACCCACCGCACACTCCTCGCCATGTGTCAATTCGTATGCCAAAATTCTCGTTAAAATGATGTGCCCCCCATTGAAAAATAATAGTACTTACATGTTCATCTTTATCAGCACTTGAATTGCACAATTATTTGCCAAATATTATATCTTTTTTCACTTTTTTTTGCAATTTTCACTTCACCTTACAATTTTCCAGGTTTTGCACCTACGTCAGTATTAGAGATGAAAGAAACTGTAGGGTTATTCATGCTTCGTATCGAACATTCTCGATAGTTTTAAATCAAAGCAACTCTGTTAGACATGTGTACGGTAACACTATTAACAGCAGAGTGACACTATCGATTCAACTGTTGCAGCAGAATTTAACATTGAATTTTCACAATATTTTTAATTTTAATATTAATATTATATGGCAATATCAATATTGTGTGTCTGTACTTTACTTAATTTTTGTTAAACTGAACACATATTTTATTTGTATTGTGATTACAAACTCACGGAAAATACGCATACTATCATCACAACATGAGTGCGAAGTCATTTTGAATAGTCTAAATAAATATGCGCACCAGCTATAAAAAGAATCGTCCATTTGATTTCAAGCTCATTGATCATGTCGAGCCAAATACCGTATTGTATAAGCGCCAGACGGGTCTTTCGAATTATGATGTCATGAAAGTCAAATCGGAAATCTGGTCCAATATAGCAGAGATTATGGATTGCGATGGTAATTTTTGGTGTCTCCTCATCAACTAGCCTTAACTTTTCTTACCCTTCCAGTTGATTTCTGTCTAATGCGCTGGAACAATTTACACTATCAGTATCGAAAGGAATCACGGCGACCTGGCGGCTCGACATGGCCATATTTCAAGCGACTACAATTTTTGTCGGGTTTGCCACCGCGACCCAAATCCAAGCACACGGCGCAGTGTACGGATAAGTCGCAGACTGCGGAGGTGACAAAAGAAGTAACTGTGGATCATGATGCGTGGCAGTCGTACGATGATTGCGTGGTGATGCATGTCGGCGATATGGAGCACAATTCCGACTCATTTATAATCGAGGAAATAATTGAGCAGAATGATCAGATCTTGCAAGAAGAGATTATTTACGAGGAAGAAGATGCGGTAGAGGAGGAGCATCTTCAACCAGACTTCGAACCTTCGTCAAAAGCAACGTCGCCCTCCACTGGGGAAACATCATCACCTGCAAGTGATTATCTCAAAATGGCCAGAATTCTCGAGCAACTCAAGGGCACACAACAGGTACGAGCGGAACGCCGTATCATGGCCTTCCTGCTCAAGTGCCAGCTGAGAGCACTGGTGGATGAGCCCATCGACGATCTGGTGGTTTGAATCTTAGGCTTAGAAGTGTATATAGACTTTAATAAACAAACTAAAAGAACATTTTCTATGCATCAACTTTACACTTGTCCAGATCGAGCCAAGCAACGTTAGGCTTCGTTATGAACTGATCCCGAGTTAAACTATCCAACATAAACGCCTGTTCCCGTACATACTTGACTAGACGCTCAATTTTGGCATAGTCTTCGCAGTCCATTTCAAAGAAGCGACGCCACAGAGCACAGGCCAGCACTCGGTCGTCGGACATGATGCCCTCGTCGTAGGCAATGAGCGCCGCCTGAAACTGTTCAGACAGGGTCTCGATTTGCTTTCGCGTACGTGAGGGATTATTGGCCTTAAAAAGCAGTAAGGAAAATAAACAACGCACTACGTTGAACTCCAAGACTTACTCCAAGTTTTTTGGCGCGTGTATTTACATCTCCCCACATGGCCTCCACAATACAGTTGCGCAGAAAGCGTCCATCCTCGCCGGCTTCCGAGCCCTCGGCCATGGAGCGCATCATCAGCAGCCACACGTGCAGTTCGGTGACCAGAAACCAGGAGTTGAACGTGTTTGGCAGATTAAAATCGCGAAAGAAGGCAACGTAGTTGATCTTGTCCGCTACACTCTCGTACAGCAGATGGCTGGTAACCTTTAGGCGCTGCAATGGATGAAGTCGTGACAGCTTTGTCAAAGAGTTTTCTATTTGCACAGTACTCACGGCTTTAGTATTGGGCGTAAATCCGACTTTGGTAAGAACACGTTTTAGTATGCTACCATCTTCCGTGGTTTGTTTTGCCGCTTTGCCCGGACTGTCCACAACACCGGTGGAGCAGAGTCTGCATGGATCGGTAAATCTGGCTGCCACAGCCGCCGCCACCGCATGGTGTTTATATATTTGTTGCGTTGCCTGTAGAATAAAAACAAATGTCAGTGTGGTTTATATAAGAGTGGCTGGTGCAATTGCAGGCAGCCCAATAATCGGGCAATTATATTTATCAATGTCGTGTGTTCACATACCAATCCTGATGTGGTTAAGCCACCCGCAAGCCTCGCTGCTGCGCGAGTGCACAACATGCTTTAATTAAACCGTATTTTAATTGTTTAAACCAAAACGCAATGTTCCAGCAACATGCAGTGCTGCCAACTCGTTGAAAAACAGTTGCGCCACCGCCAGTGAACAGCTGATTTAACAGAGCCGCTCAGCACTGCCAGTCAACAGCAGATTTTACAGAGCTGCTCAGCATTGCCAGCAAACAGCTGATTTAACAGAATGACTCCACAGTTATCAGAAAAATGTGTTAAGACCGGGTCGCTACTTCTGTCGTGAAATAATAAAAATTCAATTAATCAAAAATATATATATAAATAATGCTTCGTTTAAGTGCACAAATATGCAAACAAAGCCTTGCAATGCAACGCCTCCCTGGCAGCACAAACAGAATACCCACCATCAGGCTGCAGCTGGTCACAAGAAAGATGACACAACAGTCTCAAAAAATTGAATGGACCACGAGTATTCCGATTGGCAACAAGGACAAGGATAAAATCACAGCGCTAGGTTGGTTCTTACTCGTAAGTAGCTCTATGTATAAGAAATTTCGTTTACTAAGTGCCCTGTGTAGCTCATACCCGCAACCACGTTTGGCCTGGGCGTCTGGCAGGTGAAGCGTAAGATCTGGAAGGAACAGCTAATTAAGGACTTGGATAAGCAGCTGCACATGCCGCCGGTGAATCTACCCGATGAGTACGTCCAAATGCTGGCAGCTTAACCTTTTTACTCCAACTTGTGACTGTTTTACTTTGCCCCAGCTTGAGCCAGTTGGCGCAAATGGAATATCGCTTGGTCACCTTGCGTGGCAGATTTCTGCATGACAAGGAGATGTTGATGGGACCACGCTCACTGATACGACCGGATGGTGTGGAAACGCAGGGTGGACTCTTCTCTCAGCGCGACTCAGGCAATGGTTACCTCGTCATAACTCCGTTCCAATTGGCAGACAGGGAGTGAGTCGTGCAAATATAACGCCTAATACCATCTGCTGTAATTCCCAACTCCTACGCGAATTTCCCGCAGCGACATTGTTCTCATAAACCGAGGCTGGATCTCGCGAAAGCATGTGGACCAGGAGACACGCGCCTCGGGCCAGAATCGAAATGAAGTGGAGCTGACGGCAGTCGTGCGCTCGGGCGAAAGTCGTCCCCAGTTTACGCCAGATCACAAGGATGGCCAAGTCTATCTCTATCGCGATTTGGGCAGAATGTGTGCCAGCTCTGGAGCTGCGCCTATCTTCCTCGATGCCGTTTACGACGCAAACGCTGCGCCCAATGCTCCAATAGGCGGACAGACACGCGTCACGCTGCGCAACGATCATCTCTCGTATCTGGTTACCTGGTTCAGTTTATCGGCAGCAACTTCTTATCTTTGGTATCGCCAGATTGTTAGAAGAATACCATTTTGAGACGCCAATTTATGAAGTATTGTTTATTTTATAAAATTTACATTTGTTGTGTAAATGTTTGCTTAATGATCAGATGGAACAGAAATCCGGATCCTGTATAAAGTGGGTATCCGTTTGCAACGGCAATGTTTATATTTATATTGCAACTGGAACGACATTTGGTTGTAGGAATAGATATAGGAATACTTAGGCGTATCTAGCGAAATACTTGAACTATTTATATAAAAAAACACAAACATAAACGCATATTTACACAGTTAGTCTCGTAAATACTGGAAAATGTTGACGACTTTAAGTCTTGATGCCACGCCTAGACACGCCTACAGCTGCGGCACAATGCCCCACGAGCGAAGCAGCCCGGCTCTCTGGTACTTTTTACCAATCGTCTGCACATGGAAGCCGATCTGCAGCAAACGCTCGTGATCTAGAATTTTACGTCCATCGAATATGTATGCCGGTTTCATCATCGACTGATAGATGCGCTTGTAGTCCAGATCCACAAACTCATCCCATTCCGTGCATAGCACCAGGGCGTGCGTGGCGCGCACTGCACTGTACGGATCGCTGTGTATTTGGACCGCCTTCTTTACGTTCTCAGGAGATTCCGTTACGCTCGGATGCGTCAGATCGTCAATAATTTGCTCTGGCTCCACCTTAGGATCATAGATGTCCAGCTTAGCGCCCTCCTCCAGCAGTGTTTGGCACACGGTAATTGCCGCCGTTTCGCGCGTATCACCCGTGTTCTTCTTGAAGGCAAAGCCCAGAATGGCGATCCGCTTATCCGACACTGTGTTGAACAGGCTCTCGATGATTTTCTGCGAGAAGCGTCGCTTCTGATAGTCGTTCATGTCGATCACCTGCTGCCAATAGGCGGCCACCTCGGGCAGGTTCAGGTTCTCGCATATGTAGATCAGATTGAGTATGTCCTTCTGGAAGCAGCTGCCGCCAAAGCCCACAGAGGCTTGCAGAAACTTTGAGCCAATGCGCGAGTCCAGACCCACGGCACGCGCCACCTCCGACACATCGGCGCCGGTGGCTTCGCAGACCGCGGACAGCGAATTGATGCTGGAGATGCGCTGCGCTAGAAATGCATTGGCCGCCAGCTTGGAGAGCTCGCTGCTCCACGTATTGGTGGTCAGTATGTTCTTCTTTGGTATCCAGTGCTCATAGATCCACGACAGCTTCTCCACAGCCTGATGGCCCTCTGGCGTTTCCTCGCCGCCAATCAAAACACGATCCGCATTCAGCAAATCGTTGATGGCCGTGCCCTCAGCCAGAAACTCCGGATTAGAGAGTATATCGTAGTGTATGCCAGGCTTCTGATTTGCCCGCAATATATGCATAATGCTTTCGGCGGCACGCACTGGCACCGTGCTCTTCTCGACAACGATTTTATTCGACTGCGCGATCTCTGCAATCATGCGTGCCGCACTCTCCACGTACTTCAGATCCGCGGCTCGACCTGAAAGTTAATAAATTAGTTAGTTTATCGTTTTGCTGGACATAGACAGAACTTACCCTTGCCGCTGCCGCAGGTTTTCGTGGGCGTGTTCACCGATATGAAGATGAGATCGGCATCTTTAATGGCAGTTGTTATGTCCGTGGAGAAGAACAGGTTCACATTGCGACACTTCTTGACCACCTCATCGAGACCGGGCTGCAGGTAAGAATTTGATATATATATATATTGATAAAAATATATGCTTAGCTCGCCTAGTTTTAGATAATTCGAGCGATTCAAACGCTCTGTCAACTGTTCTCTCGACTGTGTTTGGTCTAAAGATAAGATAATTGGGTTTTTCTGTTCACTTAGGTTGTTTGTTGAATTTCTTATTTTACAAGCGAATGGGTTTTTTTTTAAGTAGAACAACAAACTGCACTAAATGATGGGTAATTCTAGAGAAACATATATATATATATATATACATATATATATTTTTATTTATACCCTGAACCCATTAAAAATGGGCTTAAGGATATATTGTATTTGTGCAAAATCCAAATGTAGGTAACAGGCAGAAGGAAGCATCTCCGACCCCATAAAGTATATATATTCTTGATCAGCACCAATAGCCGAGTCGATCTAGCCATATCCGTCTGTCTGTCTGTCCGTCCGTCCGTCCGTATGTATAAACGCAAGGATCTCAGAAACTATAAGAGCTAGAGAGTTGAAATGTTAGATGTAGGTGCTCCTAGTAGGTGCCTGCCTGCTCGAGTTTGTTTCCGATGATCGATAACTTACTCCGTTTCCCAGCAATCGATAAGAATCGTTATCATGTTTTTTGAGCAATTTTGGTAAGAAATAAGAGCTAGAGTCACCAAACTTGACATATAGCTTCTAAAATAGAATATATATATGCATTTGATGTTGGAAGAAGAGGTATCCCGACTAGAACCTCTTGTTCATTTTTGTTCTACTGATGTTTCGTTTATACGATGTGCTATTTGTGCCAAACTCTACAAGCTTTGCATTTTAATCAGAATTGGAAGTTTATTGAACCTGTTTACATGATAATTTATAACAAAATGAAACGAAAGTCGCTAATTGGGAAATGCTGCAGCAGCACGTAGAATAATAACGAGCAAGCAAATCTATTCGCTATAATTAAATCAAATTCTGTAGAAATATCAGTTGAAGCGAAATTGTGGTAAAAACAAATTGACAAATAGCCGCTGCCTATAATGAACTCCTTCTATCTGTCTTCGCGCTGATAAGCGCAACACGCCAAAGGCAATTAGCGTATTTGCTGGCCTTAAAGAATTGCAACAAGCAATTTGTTTGGCACCTGGGCAAATACCTGCACAGAAACAAGAGACGTTGTCGTCGCCGACAACAGCATTGACTATTCGTTTTTTTTTTTTTTTTTTTGTTTAGCTAATTATTTATTTTTACAATGTTGCGCTTACAACGCAATGATGCAACCTCTAACTGAAGTGCGCATAAATAAATAAATATAAGATACAACTCAAATTACGCCTTGGCCAAATGGCAGTTATTATTCGAAGAATAATAATATTTATCAATCATGGAAGGCAACCCGTTCCGTTGGCATTCAAGAATTGTTGAAAAAAATTGCTGTCAAGCCGGCCGCAGACCCTCAGTTTCACATTATCCAGCGCTAGCTGATAGCTGAGGCTTATCTGCCTCACAAGACGTAATGTGGCCTGATAAGGATTTGGGGCGCGTTAAATGGGGCGCAGGCGGAAACAAGTCTGGAGTATCGCATATAAAAGAAACGGAAATGCGACAACAAACAGCACAGCATAAAGAGAGCGCCAGCTTTTTAGCGGCTTCCCCTGGACTAGGTCAAATCAAATTTCTACGCAATCTTGTTAGCTAGTGTAATTATTTGGCACTCAATAAACATGTGAGTGCGCGTATGTACTTGCGGATGAATGTGCATGTGTGTGTGTCTGTGTGTGTGTGCCTTATGAATGACTAATGAATGTTCGTTTGCTCGGTAAGCGGGATGGGGAGCTCACTTCTATTTGGGGGGAGAGTGACCATTGACCTTGCTGAGCACCTGTGATTTGCGACAGTCGGATGTACTCGATCTTCGCCGCAGTTAAAAGAGCACGCAATCGCACGCACTAAGCTTTTGGATGAGGGCAGGCAAGGTGCGCGTTGTATACAAATCAGTTTCTCAAACAGCAGCCAGAGACGGTTGGGGAACTGGTTTCGGATTTAGTGTTTTTGTGGGAGCGGTGAGGGGGGGGGGGGGGGGGGGGGGTACTGTGAAGTTGAATGCTGGGCTACTCGAAAACATGGGCATGAGGAGTTCATCGACGTTTTGGTATTGTCTGGCCATTCTGCGTCTGATTGATGTGTTGTTGTTTGTTTAGGATTTTTGGTTTTTCTTTTTTAATTTTACAGCACGCACGATAGATCTCTAGCCCATACACAGACACACACACACACACGCAAGCATTATTCAAATGCAAACACACAGAAATGTGTGTGCACTCGGAAACATGATCATCCGGCCGCGTAGATGTGTATATAGCAATAACTTAAACTAACCTCATAGATGGGCAATTTCTCCGAATTCCACTGTGCGATTCTCTCAGCGCTTTTATCGACCAGCGTTATGGTAATATCCGGACACTTGAGCGCCATTACCGCACATGTCGGGCCGCCAACATAACCAGCGCCAATGCAGCAGACCTTCATTGTTGTTCAAATCGATTTTTATACACACACACACAATTAATTCAAAATAACGACCGAATGTGCAGAACTACCGTCAATTTACGCTCGACTCAATTTTTTTCAAACAACAATACATATGCACATAAATGTTTAATGCTTCCTCCACGGCGTCTGAATAACATCTGTTAACAAAACTTCCAATCAGACTGTAAAAAGCAAAAATGCTCAGTGCTGTTGGCGAACTGCTAGACACCCTCTACTCTTTTATGTTAAACTTACGCCAATTTGTTGTGTAACATTTCCGTGTTTGAAAATGATGTTACTTTACTTGTATATATTAATATTCAGATTTATATTGAAATGTTGTTGAGCAACCTGTTATAAGGTTTTTTATACTCTTTTTCTGCTCGAGTTAAACATACTCAGTTCATGGTATCCACTTTTAATAACTAATAACTCTGTATACCCGATTTAAACATTAATCTATGGTGTAAAAACAACCTTATCTCTCGATTAACATTTACTAGTAAAATTAGTGTTTGTTTGTCCAATGTTATGTTAGCACAAATCTGTTAACAACCGTGAACTGGCAACCCAGTCTGTTAACTAACACATCTGATATCGATTGTTTACCCTGTAAACACAGTTGGCGCCCATATTTCAAATGAAAACAAAACCCATTGGCGTAGGTGCCTTTGAGTTTTATTTTTTAAGGTGTTCATACAGAATGTCGATTGCTGTAGTTTACAATTTTTAGACATCAGTAGTTGGTTTATTATTTTGGTCAAAATTTTCGAATCTCCTCTTCTGGGCTAAAAAAACATGCTGCAGTTATTAAGTCTTATCAAAAACCCACGTCTGACGTACCAAGCAATACCATCTTTATCCAATGCGCGCTATCGTTATATGTCTGATAAAACCAAGAAGCCAGACAACGCCGATAAATGCGAAAAGAAAGGTACAAAATGATTAAAATTACGCGTAAAAACCAGTCGTTAATTAATGTTTGTAGCGGAAGTAAAGAAGCCCGATTGCAAAAGCGAACAGAAAGCTGAGAGCGATCCGAAAAAGGCTGAATGCAAGAAGGACACACCACCCAAGAAGGATGAAACTGCGATTAGTGGTGGCGCCCAGTGCAAATCCAAAAAGAAGCCACCGCCTTGCCCACCACCGCCAAAGGAGAAAAAACAGAAACAGTTGAGCTGCGAAGAGTTGGTACTGAAGCGTGAAGGATTAAATAAAACAGAAGCCACTTGTCCTGCGGAAATATCCGGTGGCGGCCCAAAGTGTCCGTGCACACCCTGCCCCAAGCCACGTAAGTCGGTCAACTCAACTCTGAGAGCAATATTAAATAAAAGAGATATTTAAAATCGAATAATGGTCACATAGCGCCAGATTACAAGAATTCAAAAAAGTGGCAGAAGATCTCGCTAATGGGTGGACTGCCGCTGATTGCCATACTGACGGTCCTTGTATTCACCTCGCACAAGGAAGAGGAACGACCAGAGTATAGGCACTGGTCGCACTTGTATCTACGTGGAAAGCCGTATTTCTTCAGGGACGGAAATACCACAGCATTCCATAATAGTTTCTGGAATCCCTTGCCGCCAGATGGTTATGAGGATGAGATCGATGTTGAGGGCAATGGCAAGACCCCCGAAACGGATAAGGAAAGGGCGGATCGCTTGAAGGAGTTCGCTGCCGTGCAGAAGGAATGGAAAAAGTATGATAGCAAGCGTGAAGCTGAAGACAAAAAGAGGCAGGCTGCGGCTGAAAAGGAGGCCAAGAAGCAGCAGGAACTGGCCGAGAAGGAAGAGAAAAAGCAAATGGCTGAAGCCGAAAAGGAACAGAAGCGTCTAAACGCCGAAGCCGAAAAGGAGCGCAAGCGACAGGAAGCCGAAGCTGCAAAGGAGAACAAGCGACAGGAGGAGGAAATGAAAAAGCAAGCAAAGGAAGAAGCCAAAAAAGTCGAATTCTCTTTCATCAAAGCCCCAAGTGATGCCGGAAATTAATTTCAAAATTAGTCTGTGATTAAAATTCCTTTTTTTTTAGTACATGCTCTTTGTATTTATTTGAAGCTAATGCTTTGAACGGAATTAAGCAAAATTTTAGATAATTATTAAATCACCTAACACTTCCGGACATCCGGCACAATCTTGCACTCGGCGAAGGGATCAGCTGCCTTGGCTTCCTTCTTGGCGCAGGGCGGACACTCGACACAGCAGATGTCATCCTTGGGCGTTGCCTTGAGCAGACCATTGATATTCTCGCCGGGCGCCGGCTTCAAACGTGTGCCGGAGTCGACGCGTGACTGAACTACCTTGCCTTTTGGCTGGGCCTTGGGCAGCTGGTAGCTAGGCCCATCGACTGGATTGGGACTACCCCAATATTCCTCGGGCACATCCCAAATGATCAGTGAGCCATCCGTGCTGCCTGTGACAAACATCTTGCCGCAGGGACTGTACGCAGCGCTGATCACAGACGAGGCATGCTCCGATCCCACACCCACCACATCGCCGCTATTGTAATCCCATAGCTTCACCTGCAGATCGCTGCCAACGCTAACGAAATAGTCGCCGGTGGCATTCATCGACAAACAGTTCACAGATGACTTCTTCGAGGCGGTCAGCTCGCGTATCAGTGCTCCGTTGTACACCATCCAGTAGATGATTCTGCCATCCGAGCCGCACGTGAGTATCTGTACTCCAGTCGGGAAGTAGAGGACGGACATGAACTGCGTGTTGGAAGTGACCACCTGTTTGCGGGTCATGCGATTGATGTCCCAAATGACGCAGGAGCCGTCAGTGCAGGCGGATATCACTTCAGTGTCCAGATAATTTATGTCCAGCGAGGTAATGGGACCCGAGTGATCCTTAAGCACGCCGACTAGATCCTGACGATACGGCTCGATCTTCCACACGCGCACCTGTCCCTCGATGCCGCCAGTTACGATGAAGCGACCAGTTGATGCCACCGCCAATGCACTACAACCTGAATGGAGTTCAAATTTGTGGAATCGGTTTAGGGATTACTGAGCTACGAATTGTGGACTTACCCTTATTGTGAGCATTGGGTATGGCATAGATGAGACGGCCAGTGATGGGCGTAAAGGCGCGTATGATGCCATCATTCCACACGGACACAATGCTGGTGCCATCCTGGGCGAAGCGAACCGCAGCGCAGTTAAAGTTATATACCATGATGCGCAGCAGCTCCTGCTTGCGATTCAGGGACCAGATGCGTATGCTCTCATGGCCCGCGGTGGCAAAAACAGCTGCATAGTTTCTGAAATAGTTGCAATTGGGTATCAGGATTTTGTATCAGGTATCAGCTAGCTACACCTACTTGGGAAAGGTAATAAAGTAGACTGCCTTGGCGTGGCATGTGCGCAGCAGCTTTAGCACCCACGTTGATATGTTCAGCATGTAAATCTCGTTGGTGTCCGTGCAGATGTAGAATTTCTCTGGCGTGGAGCGCACAAACGAAGAGATGCGGCCAGAGACGCGGGTTCTCTTCACCTGCAGGAAGACGGAAACGTGTTAGAGACTCATTCAAGCCCAAAGACGAGGGTTTACCGTGCGCAAATAGGGCCATGTGGGTCCCGGATACTCTCGGAAATTGATCAATGGTATCTCCGTGCGCTCCTCCACCAGCTCCACCCCACCATCGCCGGCACCAATTAGCAGACGCCCCTCCTCCAGCACATATAGTGCACGCACGCCGTTCACGTAGCGATTGCAATCGCGACCCGTGGGCTTGCGTGGATTATGTGTGCCAAAGGCGCCCAGTATGCCGCTGGATGAACCTGGTCGGGTCACATTGTCCCTGTCACAGCAGTTGAGCACGATCTTAACAATATCGCCTGTGCCGGTGCCCAGATAGGCGAACTCATCCTTCTTATCGATGCGGGCACAGTAGAACTGGCGCGACTTGCTGGCCAACTGGACATCCTGCACGTACAGCTTCTTCTGCTCGCGTAGAATGCTCCACAGGCGCAGGTGCCGATCGCCGGCGGTGAGAAAAAAAAACGGATTATTGTGTAGCGGACGCACAGTAAGGGCATTTCCAGAAATGGCGCGTGAGGCGGGCTGGCGGCAAATGGGCGTGCTGCAGTTAGAGAGGAGCACAGATTGGGAGAGCACATAATGGTTGGATAACAACAACATATTTACAATGTCTGCATATCGAATACGATGACGGAACCGTCGTCCTTGCCTCCAATGGAAATGACAAAGCGTTCCTCGGCCGTAAAGCAAATGGCCTGCACTTTCACTTTGTGCAGATCGTGACGTCCAATCTCCTTGCGCGACTCATAATCCCATACGATGACGTAGCCGCGAAAGCCCATATGATTGACCTGGCCGGAGGCGATATACTTGCCGCTCTTGCTGACATCCAGGCAGGATATGCTGTTTGTGTGTCCGGCAACGAATTCTTGTGTATTCTTTTTGAAGTCGGCAATGGCAATCTTGTTGCCCAGTGGAAATATGGCCGCCTGGGTAATGGGATGCTGACGCACACCGTTCTCCACTTTGCCATTGATGCCGAAAATTGCGCGCGGCTGTAGGTGCTGGCATTCTTTGACCGCGGTTGCCATTATCATATAAAATATATATATATATGAATTTTGTTTTTATATGATTTCTATTTTTGGTATTTGCTACACCAGCTGCTGACAATGTGAACAGCAACTGCTTATTTATTGTTTGAAAATTAAGCAACCGTTGCCTGGATGCCGTTTTAAAACAGGGTGGCAACGTTGCGCCTTTCATTTTGCTACTTTTCAAAAAAGCGAGCAACGCTTCAATGCAAGCATTGAGAACATTCTAAACGGCCGCGAACTAGCGTAAGGAAACATAACTAGGTGGCAACTCTGCAGAACAGCCGGCAAGTGTAAGAGAATAACAAAACAACAAAAGCAAAAAAGAAAAAGTTTGCGTGTGTGCGTGTATATATACCATATATATATGTGTGTACGTAAATAGAACTATATAAGTTGCAGTCTTGCGCCGTTTTCACAGTTAGTCGGACAAACGGCTCTTGTGCTAATCAAATCAAAAAACCAACTTGACCCGCACCAAACAATAAAAACAAAAGCCACGGACCGTGCGATTGTGATTAAGCTGCAAAATGCTGCGAATTCCGAACAATCCCAAGGGTTATTGCCTGCTGCCGCTGCTGCTGCTGGCTTGCCTAATTGCGCAGTCGAGTAGCTTGGGCAGCTTTCGACTGGGTCGCCATGTGAATGGATTTCTGGGTGGACCGAGCAAAATTGCCACCCTGCAGCAGTCGATGGATGTGGAGGATTTGTGGTTCGAGCAGCGTTTGGACCACCTCCAGCCGGACGACACACGCACCTGGCAACAGCGCTACTTTGTGAACGATGCATTTTACAGAAATGACAGTCATGCTCCGGTGTTTCTAATGATTGGCGGCGAGGGGGAGGCCACCAAGAAGTGGATGCATGAAGGCGCCTGGGTGCGCTATGCCGAGCACTTTGGTGCGCTCTGCATTCAGCTGGAGCATCGTTTCTATGGCAAGAGTCATCCGACCAGCGATCTGTCCACAAGCAACCTGGCTTATCTCAGCTCGGAACAGGCGTTGGCCGACTTGGCCAACTTTGTTACGACCATGAAGACCAAATATAATATGGATGCAAAGCAGAAATGGATTGCATTTGGTGGCTCTTATCCGGGCAGCTTGGCCGCCTGGGCGCGCGAGAAGTATCCGCATTTAATTGACGGCTCCATCAGCTCGAGTGGTCCGTTGCTGGCCCAAGTTGACTTTAGCCAGTACTTCGAGGTGGTCAAGTCGTCGCTGGCCAGCTACAAGCCGGAATGCGTGGAGGCTGTGACGCGCGGCATTGCTCAGGTGGAGATACTGCTAAAGCACATGATTGGACAACGTAATCTCGACGAGAAATTCAAGTATGTAGCCCACTGCTCAGCAGCGAATAGATAACTTAACATTGGCCTTTCGTGTAGAACGTGCACGCCCCTCAAAGATTCGATTGAAAATCAATTGGACATCTCGAACCTATTTGAAAATATTGCTGGCAACTTTGCTGGCGTGGTGCAGTACAACAAGGACAACAGTCCACATGCCAACATAACCATCGATGAGGTATGGAGAGGAGTCGCTGAGTCGTAGAGCTGCGCAGGATTTGTGCTAACATCCTCTAAATGCTTACAGATCTGCGATGTTATGCTGAACACCACAATGGGTCCGCCTGTGACACGTTTGGCTGCGGTTAATGACATGCTGCTGAAGCAGTCCGAGTCCAAGTGCCTGGACTACAAGTACGAGAAAATGATAGCCGATATGAAGAACGTTTCGTGGGACTCGGAGGCAGCGAAGGGCATGCGTCAATGGACCTACCAGACCTGCACTGAGTTTGGCTTCTATCAGACGTCGGAAAATAAATCGGACACATTCGGCGATCGCTTTGGCGTTGACTTCTTCATACGTCAGTGCATGGACATATTCTCGGAGCGCATGGACGGCAAATTCCTGGAGCAGGCTGTGGCCCAGACGAACAAGTACTATGGCGCACTCAAGCCGGCGACCACACAGGTGTTGTACGTGCACGGCTCCATTGATCCATGGCACGCACTGGGCTTGTATGTCTCGCCCAATGCGAATACGCCCACCATTTACATAGAAGGTAGAGTCCAGAGTCTCAATTCAGATGAAATTCGATGCTCATGCTGATAACTTTTACAGGCACCGCACACTGCGCCAACATGTACGAGCCGGTCAATAGCGATCCCCCACAGCTGAAGGCGGCTCGCAATAAGATACTAAAGTATCTGGCCAAATTGCTGGACGGTTACGCCAGCTTTGCAAGCTTCACCTGAATTTGAAGCAACCAAAAATGAAATGTGCAAACTAAGCTATAATAATGTATACAAATACACATTGGAGCGTCTGGAAATACGAGATTTAGCTTTGTTTAATGTTTTGTGCATTCGACATGATATGCATGTTCGATTTTATATAAAAAATTTCTTAGCTGTGCTTAGTCCTTCTTGGCCTGCTCCATTTTCTCATGGAAGCGTTTCCAGTAGTATCTGACAGTGTTATTCTGTACTATCTTCTCGTCGACAAAGCGTATGGTCCAGGTGGCCGTCAAGTAGATCAGGTCATATAAAAATGCCACCACTCGAAAGACGAACTTCTCGACCTGTTCCTTACTGGGCAGATTGGCTGCCAGTTCCTGCAGCTGCTTAACTGCATCGTCAGCCATTTTATTGCCAGTAGGTCCATCACCTGGTTGGCCAACCGGTTTGCTCGACTCACTCGCCTTCGACGACGACGACGACGACGACGATTTTGCTCCAACAGACGACTCTTCGGTACCAATCTTGCCACATTCTGTTACCGAAGGAGTGATAGGCACCTGTGAAGCAATTTCGCCCGTCTTCTTGGAAAAGTTACCGTCGCGGGCGGGATCACCTCCGACAGCTTCGGGCTGCGTCTGCGCATACGCAGTCGACTCATTGCCAGTAACACTGCCCAAACTCGTAGATTGACCCACGTTACCAATTATGCCAGCCGGGCTGCTGCCGACCGATCCCTTAATCTTGTTATCGCCGCTAGCAAAATAACGCACAAGTGGCCGGGAGTATGCGTGCGACAAGCGTACATGATTGTGCGCCACAATGGAATCTATGCAAATGTGATCAATTGGAATTTAATCGGAATATTCGCGATTCGCACTTACCCACAATGCCCTTGGCCGACAGCAGGGTTAGTGGAAGCTTTCCACGTTGACCGACCGAAATAACTGCACGCAGCATATTGTTTAACTGAACCTCTGCTTCGAATTTGTATACTAGCGTCCTACACAATATTAAACAGAGCTACTTAAACTACCTGAATATTGTACAAATTTAAATGGTTTAGAAAATTAAAAAGCCTCGACCTACTTCGACAAAAGTTGACAGCAAAAGAAGGCACTTCTGATACAGGCACAAATTCTCCTTAGTAGCACTGAACAGTGTTGTATAACGACCCTAAAAGGACCCCACTACACGTTCTGATTATTGTTATTACTAATTGGGCTGTCATTAAAGTTGTGCTTTGTTTGTTTGTTGTAGTTTGTCTTTATTTAAGCTATTACTAAGAGAATTAGTAAAATTTCTAGTTAAATGTAGAGGGCATACAAAAATTAGGCCCACGCGCACTTTTCTTCTAGTGCGCTAAGCTCTTGGCAAATTCTCGACAGTGTTATGAAACGTGGCCAAAATGCATTGCGTAAAGAATAGGAAACCCGTTGAGACACGCACGTGCTCAAAAGATCACTTGCTTTGCGCAATGCAATTTAGTCACATGAATTACTTAAATCTTAACTAAATGCAAAGTTAGCTGGCCACATTTATGGGCATTGGGTTTAACATATGTATCTGGGCAGCTATCTTTACCAAGCTCCTGGCGTCGTCTACTTTACACACTTGTTAAATTACATACAATACATAGATACGTATTTTAATTAGTTCACTTATAGCATTTTAACGGTTAACTTAATTAATTGCAGTTGGTTATTTGTTCCGAGACTGACTACTGGCAACAAAATCGGTTTACATATGTAAGCATATAAGTATATCAAGAGCTTGTAAAGCGTTTTTTCAATTCTATAGCATATACTACCATAGAGTATATGCATAAAATTATAGATTAAACAGATTATATATATAATGTCTTTATAGTTAATTAATTATAATGTAATGGAAATGTTTGCGCGTTTTCCTTTAATACTAAGACGCACTCTAAACTCGTATCGCAACTGATCTCTCCCCCGTTTAGAACAGACCAATTTGTTTCAGATTGTTCTTGATGATGACATCGGTGACCGCATCAAATACAAATTTAACATTATTTGTATCTGTTGCACAGGTGAGATGCGTATAGATTTCTTTTTGGTCTTTTCGTTTGTTGAGATTTTCGAATTTCATGCGTATATAGTTGGCGGCCTCCTCGAACGTATTGGAACCTGCAAAAGATAAACACATTTAAACATTTCGTTCAAGTTCAGATGTTGTATCGTCTTACCAGTGTATTCCGGAAAGCATATCGTAAGGGGAGATCGCTTGATTTTCTCCTCGAACAAATCCTTTTTGTTCAAGAAGAGTATTATAGATGTTTCCACAAACCATTTCGAATTGCATATGGAATCGAACAGTTTGAGTGATTCAATCATGCGATTCATTTCCTCATCCTCAGCCAAAACCAAATCGTAGCCTGCAAGAAAAGGCCACAGATTAGTTTTGCATTATATTAAATAAACCGTTGCTGGGCCTCACCTGAGAGCGCCACACAGAAGATGATGGCCGTCACGCCCTCAAAGCAATGAATCCACTTCTTGCGCTCCGAACGCTGACCGCCCACGTCAAAGAGTCTACATAGAGGATACGGGATTGTCAAAGTTGACCAAAGGATTTTTTACGACAAAGAAGCTCACTTGAAGTGCAATTGTTTACAGCTGAAATGCGTCTCGATGATGCCGGTGGTCTTGACACGTGTCCGCAGCACATCCTGCTGTGTGGGTATATAGTTGGGCTGCGAGATGCGGTCCAGCGAGTTCAGATAGTAGCCGGCCGAGTCGTTGAGCTGATATTCGCGCGAGCGTGAAAAGGATTGCTGCACACCGGCATCGGACCACAGTTTCTTCATCAGCAGCACA